GGGAGTCTAAGGCAAGAGAACTGCTTGAGTCCAAGAGTTTGAGGTTGCTGTCAGCTGTGACACCATAGCGTTCTACCCAGGGTGACAGCTTGAGACTCTGTCTCAATAACAACAAAAGGATCTCTGCTAATTAAAAAGGTGAAAAATGAGAACTTATTATGACATTTTTTATTTCTTAAATTTTGAGACAGAGTCTCACACTGTCATCCTAGGTAGAGTGTCATGGCATCATTATAGCTCACAGCAACCTCAAAGTCTTGGGTTCAAGCAATCCTCTTGCCTCAGCCTTTTGAGTAGCCAGTACAGGAGCCCACTGTGATGCCCAGCAAATTTTTCTAATTTTAGTATAGATAATATTCTTTTTATTTTTTTGAGACAGAGTTTCATTTTGTCGCCCTTGGTAGAGTGCCATGGCATCATAGCTCATAGCAAGCTCAAACTCTTAGGTTCAAGCAATTGTCTTGCCTCAGCTTGCCGAGTAGCTGGGACTATAGGTGCCTGCCATAATGCCCAGCTATTTTTAGAGACAGGGTCTTGCTCTGGCTGAGGCTGGTTCCAAACCCGTGAACTTGGGCAATCCACCCACCTTGCCTCCCAGAGTGTCAGGATTATAGGCGTTGGACACCACACATAGCCACAATACTCATTTTTTTTTTTTTATTACTTGGTTCCTATCTGTCCATTCATCTATTGAGATCTGAGTTTACTTCTTTTACATATTTATGTTCTTCGTATTTCTTTTCTTTGAGACAGTCTCACTTTGTTGCCCTCAGTAGAGTGTCATGGCATCAAAGCACATAGTGACCTAAAACTCTTGGACTAAAGTGATCCTCTTGTTTCAGTCTCCCAGGTGCTGGTACTACAGGCATCAGCCACTACTGCTGGCTAATATTTCTATTTTTAGTACAAACAGTGTCTCACTCTTCATCAAGCTGGTCTTGAATTCTTGAGCTCAAGCAATCTACCTGCTTCGGGCTCTGAAACTGCTAGGATTACATGTGTGAGCCACTGCACCTGGCTTGACTTTTATTTCCCGCCCCCAACCCACTGTGCCTTAA